GTCTATTTCGCATACGAATTTATATTAATTCGTTAAATATGATTCACACTTGTTGAACAAATTGAACGTATATCTTTAAGAAAGATAAAATACTAGTTGTGAATACTGAGAATAAGAATTTGCGTACTTAAATTAAGCGTAACAAGTACGCAGTGTAAGTTCAATATTTTCCAAATTGATTTTCTTTGACTTCTCTTGGTATTCGGAATGTCGTGCTTAAAAAAGAACTTAAAGCAAGAATTTACATGCTGAAAATCAGCATAAAACGTACTTTATTTAAGAGTTCCCCTATTCAATCTTGTCTTTAGGAACTTCGGACTTGAAATGTGTACTTTAACTGGAAGTACAGTACTTTTTAATACTAAGTATTAAAAAAAGTACTTAAAACAAGTATCTGCATGCTGAAAATTAGCATAAATCGCACTGAATTTAAGAGTTCCCCAATTCGTTCGTGTCTTGAAGAACTTTGGACTTCAGAACATGTAATTTAATTGCAATTAAAATACTTTTTTTTTAAGTGCTGCACTTAGCACGTTTGTGCCTGATTTGAGCAACTTCTTGCAGGTGTTTTTCTGCGAGTGTATTTTCAGCACATGTAGCTATATCTTTTGAGCTGTGGCTGTATCATTTTGGCTTGGGCTGAGGCCGCGTGCGTGTGCATAAGTAAGCGAAAAAGTGGGCGTGTGCAAGTGTTAAAATGTTGTCCTGTACTTGTGCCAGAGTAGGCCGCCTGCCGCCTGCCGCTCGCCCCTGCCACTTGCCACTTGCCACTTGCCACTTGCCCCTGCCACTTGCCACTTGCCTCTGCCACGGCTTATGGCCCTTCATAATGACGCAAGTAAATCTCATTGCCATTTCGCTGGCTGTGCACTCAATTCTTTTCTTTTCTCCTTTAGCGCCAGCAATTAGTTGTTAGCCGACTGCCACGCCCACGCCCACGCCCACTAACACCTACCAGCCAGCCGACAGCGAGCACTTGTCAATGTGAGGAATTCGCTTTTCATGTCAGCAAATGCTGGAAATTTGACAGAAAAATGCTGCCGCCTCCGGCTCTGACAGCTGATCTGAACTGCATGCAAATATTTTCGCAAATATTTAAAGAATTTTTAATATGCAGCATTTATGTGGCAAACCCCCCCGCTGACAATCCCTTAGAGGACCTCACGCTCTGCCCATTAAATGCGTCATTTTGGCTTTAGTTTTGCGGTCCGCAGGATTAGTTATGCCGCGCGGCTGTCTGCGGACGTGCTGGCACGCAAGACTCAGGCTCAGGCTAAGGCTCAGGCTCAGGCTCGGTGCATTCCGTTGGTTAACAGAGGTTTCTTAAATCAAAGTCAGGCCAGATCCTTGCCAGTCGGACCTTAAAGCGACGCCTTGCTAACTGAACGCAAGCTCTAAGTCCGAGGGCTCAATGCCGAAGCTGGGCGAGCTTGGCGAAGGTTTCTGCTAGGTGAGCTTATTTCTGGAATTTGCCAAACTCAATTTCTTAGCTGACTATAATAAATAGTCTATCTGTTAGCTGGAATTGCATTGGGACTAAAGAAGTTAGGCAAGGGAAGTCTTTTAAAGGCAAAATAACAGATGAGATTCAAGAAGCTAAAAGAACTTAAACTTTCAATTCACTTTTGATTTTATCTGAGTATACGATTCCCTGAATAAATTGGGTTTATTTGGCTTGCCGACGATCATAAAGCATATCATTTAAGGCCCAAATATAATTTCAAGAGTTTAGGTATGAACTAAAGGACATTTTGCCAAGTCTGCCGATTTGCATCAATATATCATATAGCTCACATGGGAGGAATCAGTCGAAAACAAAGTTCTTTATTCAAGACCAAACTCAAAGGCTTGGACACATTTAAGAATTTACAAGCAATTAAAATTTACTTTTCCTTTTGATCTGATATTATTTATAACTTCCTGAATATCTGATTTCGTTTTGCCTGCCCAAGACCACAAAGAAGAAAATTCAAGGAATTAGATAAAAATCCAAGGATTTAAAAAAGAATTTAAGTAAGACATATAGCCAGATCTAGCTATATCTATCAGTATATATATATATATATACATCCGTATATATATTTATAGTTACCATGGGAAAGATCAGTCGAAAACAAAGCTCTTTATTGAAAATCAAACTGTGTAACGAAACTATGAAAATCTTATAGAAATGCGAGTACTATATTATATAAGCTCCATAGGATCATATATATCTGATTCACATAGAAATTTAGTATCTATTATTTCTTGCTTTTTATCGGATATCCCTTAATATAAGATACAAATTGAGTATCTTTTATTTCTTGTTTTTTTATTGGATATTCCTTGAGATTCTCAAAATAATCGAGTTAGTATTTTCCTGATATTCCTAATAGGAAAATAAATTATCTTAAACAAAGTAACTAAACTTAGTCAACAGCAGCCAGGACTCTGCGCATAGTTTAACATATATTATATAAAATCTGAATATAATAACAAAATCTATTTCCCCCTCTCAAAGATGAAGACAGCCAGAATGTTGGCAGGCAATTAGAGTGCACTTAGAGAACATTTAACCCGATGGATTAATCGGATTAATCAACCCGAAATGTGATTAATCCGAAAGATACTTTTTACTTTATGCAAACTCCTTGGAAGCTAACTTAATCCCATAAACATCGTTTCCTTAAAGTGCTCAATTATTGAAGCACAAGAATCTAATGTTCTATATTTGTAAGAAAAAAGAAATGTGAGCTGGAAAATGTAATTTTCGCATTAACCGCAGCTCGAGTTAAGTTCCAATTTTGCTGGCACATGTTGTCAGACAATTGAGAATTTGCCAAAGTGAGCGACATTTGCATTTGGGGGCCAAGTACATCAATTGCACATGTTGTCAACAGCTGCAGCTGTATCTGTATCTGTATCTACAGCTGTACTTGTATCTGTATCTGTGTCTGTATCTGTGTCTGTAACTGTATCTGTATCTGTCATGCCACCGGCATGTGCCGCATGTGTCAAAATGTTTGCTCATCAAAATGCGAATTGGAGAATACAGTAAATGCGGGCTCGAGAGAATGTTGAGAGAATTGTTTTCCGCTGGGGCCAAGTGGAAGGCGCAAAATGTGCTTCAGTTTTGCAATACCCTCAAATGGGGTATAATGAGTATGTGCAAATGTATCTAATAGCCAGAGGGAGGCATCTCCGACAATATAAGGAACATATACATATACTTGAGCTGGAAAACGAGCTGGATCGAAAACGCCAAAGAAACTGAATTGAAAGAATCTAAAGCAATAGAAAGAAACAGACTTTTGTTTCTTTACAAAATTCAGCTCACGCTCATCATCTTTTTTTTCTCAATATCTCTTCATAATATCGATAAGTATCGATTTTGGGATGAGATGTTTTAGGCTTAACTCGAAGATTATAGCAAATATAACTAATAACTCGAAGATTATAGCAATTATAATTACCAAAATCGGTTCGTAGGATCTCATAAAGTATTCACAGCTTACGAATATTTCACTTTTAGAGAAACTCCCCCTTTTCGCTTAATATTAAAAAAAGAACTAATTTTAAAAGTTAGCGCCTGGCGCATTGGTATTTACACACATTTCGTTCTCATACTTAAACCCTGAAAGTTTCATTAAAATCGGACTGTAAGAACCGAAGTTATTCAAGAATGCATTTCCTATAGAGTGTAGTCAGGGTTCCTTTCGGTCGGGCACACCCGACTAGGGAACTTTTATTTGTACTTTTTTGAGGACATTCAGCATGTGTGTTATTGACAGGTTTAGCTAACTTAAGTGTCGGGGTTCGATTTTGGAAGGGGTTTTACAGAACAATCGAAGGGTAGAGTAGATAGATAGATAGATAGAACAGATAGCATATGGTATATAGATAAGATAGATTGTTGTGTTATATACATAGCAATAATATTTACTTATACTTTACCTCATTGTAAATACGTTGTATATTGGTTGTAGTTGTAGTAGTTGTTGTAGTTAAGAGTAGTTTTTTTTTATATAGTAGTAGAAGGTAGTAGAAGATGTAAGTTGTTTTGTAGTTAGTATGGTTCCATATATGGTTTTTTTTTAGTAGTAGAGTAGAGAGTAGAGTACGAAAGTTGTAGAGTTTTTTATTGTTGTTGTTGTAGTTGTATTAGTAGTAGTTAAAGCAGAAGTAGAAGTAGAAGTAGTTATAGAAGCAGTTTGTTAATCAACCAAAAAGCAAAGAGCATAAATCAAGTAACTCTCAAAGATACTAAATTCAATTTGAATGCAAAACAAATAATCGTTAGTTTAGTTTGAAAAACTGAAAACGGGAAAAAACTTGGAAAAACTCAACGCAATGCTAACTATGCAAAAACTTTTTATAGTTCTTCAAATTTCATAATCATATTTTATATAGTACAGATGCTGGGTAATTTTTTCGGGCGAGAAATTAAATATCAAATTCGTGGAATAAGGAGAAGAGAATTTTGGTTTTTAATTAAATTCAAATAAAACTAAAGTTCAAATGCAAAATTTGGTTTTTGTCGAGCGCAATTTCTGTTTTAATTTCTTCAAGTTAGTTTCGGCTTAAAGTTTGATTCAATTTCATGTTGACAGCAAAAGCTTCGCACGCAAAACTTTTGCTTATGGATATTTAACGGAACTAAAAGCTCTTTCATATCCTTTTTTTTTTCTGCTGTTAGCAAACTTTTGCTGAGTTTGGTTTTGGAGAGGGGAAAGGGTGCAGCAAGTAAAATAACTATATTAAGTAAGAAATAATTATGAGTTCGTTAAGTAAAAACTAAAAGGCCACAAAGCCCAATCAGAGTATGTTTATATATATATATATACATATATAGATATATCTAATATTGAGTACGATTTGTACGGATGGCTCGAATTTGGAATTTCGCAAGAATCGAATCGAATTAAAAATGCGTGTAGGTCATACAAAAGTTGAATAGGAAATGCAAAGAGAAACGAGATTATATATATTATATATTGTATTTAATTTTAGATAGGTATTACCGCCTGCAGCATCTGTTTAGCGTGTGTTGTCGCGGGTTTTGCAAGGGGGGAGAGTAAAGGTAAAGTTTCCATTAATACGCCACTCGAATACGTTTTTCTTTTGTTTGTAAGTATATAGTATATATAGAGAAAGTATAGTTAGTAGTTGGCTACGCTTTTATGATAAATGCGTTAGGCGATTCGTGAGGAAATGCGATTAAAGTGGAGTATATATCACAGAGAAAGAGAGCGAGAGAGAGAGAGAGAGCGAGAGAGTGAGTGAGAGAGAGAGAGAGAACAAGAGAGTAGTTGAAAAATGCATTATAGCTGATAGAAAGCGAGTAAAATAGTTGTGTGAGTGTTGGGCAGGGTATATTAAGTGGTATTGTTAAAGGATGTTTTAGTGTTGGAAAGTTGGACAAATATGTGTGAGTGAGGGAGCGAGCGAGAGAGAGAGAACAAGAGAGGAGTTGAAATAGTTGTGTGAGTGTTGGGCAAGGTATATTAAGTAGTATTGTTAAAGGATGTTTCAGTGTTGGAAAGTTGGACAAATATGTGTGAGCGAGGGAGCGAGGGAGAGAGAGAGAGAACAAGAGAGGAGTTGAAATAGTTGTGTGAGTGTTGGGCAAGGTATATTAAGTAGTATTGTTAAAGGATGTTTCAGTGTTGGAAAGTTGGACAAATATGTGTGAGCGAGGGAGCGAGGGAGAGAGAGAGAACAAGAGAGGAGTTGAAATAGTTGTGTGAGTGTTGGGCAAGGTATATTAAGTAGTATTGTTAAAGGATTTTTCAGTGTTGGAAAGTTGGACAAATATGTGAGAGCGAGGGAGCGAGCGAGAGAGAGAGAACAAGAGAGGAGTTGAAATAGTTGTGTGAGTGTTGGGCAAGGTATATTAAGTAGTATTGTTAAAGGATGTTTCAGTGTTGGAAAGTTGGAAGAAGTAAAAAACGATCGATAAATGCCTTGTACCTATCGTAAGTTATGCGTGTGTATTTCGAGTGTTCCAGTGTCGGAAAGTTAAACGAATCGATGAATTCTCAATATAGCTATCGATAACTAGCATGTGTGTGTTCAAAAAGTAGTATTGTTAAAGGATGTTTCAGTGTTGGAAAGTTGAAAGAAATAAATCAATCGATAATCAATAAATGTATTTCGAGTGTTTCAGTGTTCAGAAATCGATGAATACTCAATTTAGCTATCGATAACTAGCGTGTGTGTGTTGGAAAAGGCATATCAAGTGTGTTTCAGTGTTCAAAGAATGAATAATCAATGCAAGTATCGAATTTCCGTTTGTGTTTTACTTTGTGGGCGTCGCACTGCGTGACATTCTCGTCAATATCAGTGTGGGCAAAATAAGAAGTAGCATTAACCGAAAAGTGACAACAAAAAGGAAGAAAGGAAGGACATAATCGTATCGAGGGTAGGCAGGAAGATATTGTAATAGAAGAAATTGAATTGTGTATGTTTTTCACATTCTTTATATTTTTCTTATAAAGGCAGCTGTGTTGGGCGTGGGCGTGGTCGTGGGCGGCATTGTTGTATATTTTATTATTTGTTTTTTTCTTCTTCATCTTTTTGTTGTTTGTGTGAAGTGCATGAAAATTTCTAAGGATTGCTGTGCACTTGGGTATCGTTTTGAGGGCGTTGCGAGAGTGTGAGTATTTTGAGTATTTTGAGTATTTTGCTGTTTCTGGTGTTTCGGGTGTTTGTCAAGCTCTTGTGTTTGGTGTGTGTGTGTGTGTGTGTGTGTGTTTTACAATGAGGTAAAGTTCGGCTGTGAATAGGAACTGAGGAGGCGCGTACAAATATGTACATATTATTATTTGATATACTTGTCTGGTTAACGGGGGCTCTTTTATGATTTGTGTGTGCACTTAAGCTTAAATAGAGTACAATCAAGTTATATTATATACGAATACGTAGTTATCAAATGGATTTATGCCGGGGGATTCTAGCTAATGGCAGCTAAATGATGTGTGTGTGTGTGTGTGTGTGTGCTTGTGTGTGTGTGAGTTCGAACAAAAAACAAAGAAAGTGTATATTTTGTTCAAGTGCAACGCTAGACTTACAAGTTAAATATTATTAGTTATGTATGTTAGTATTTTGGGTTCAATTAATTTCAATTTTGAACGAGTCTAAAAAAATTTCTAATCATTTTCAAATCGCTTTTCTTTTTGTACATGCGTTTGCGGCCAATCAATCAAAAATGTTTCTGTTGCTCCATTCAAAACTGAAAGACAAGCTCAAATTATAAACGCAATTTGTGCCGAATATGTTAAAATGTTCGATATGGTATTTGATATAAACTTATTTATAAATATGTGAAGCTCTTTGTGAGAGGTAAATAACAACTTACGCACTTAGTGGAAATTCGGGCTAGTTTCACAAACAAAACGCTTACCTGTAAAAAGAGAAGAAATTAAATTGAATTAGAGTCAGAAGTTAAAGAGTTTGAGCTTATAATTCGCAACAAGTTAAGGCTGCGAAGGAGTTAGAAGAGGGCAAGGATGGGAGCATATTGAAATAGCCATAAATACTTTGAGCTTAAGATTCTCAACAAGTTAAAGCGAAGGAGTTAGAAGAGGACAAGGATGGGAGCTTATTGAAATAGCCATAAATAGTTTGAGCTTATAATTCGCAACAAGTTAAAGCTGCAAAGGAGTAAGAAGAGGACAAGAATGGGAGCTTATTGAAATCGCCATAAAAAACAGTTCGCTTTGGCATAAACATAATTTTTAACATTTTCATTCTGGCGCTTATAATTCGCAACTAGTTAAAGCTGCGAAGGAGTTAGAAGAGGGCAAGGCTCGCTTTTGGCCTAAACATAATTATTAATATATATTGAAAAATAGTTTCTTTGGAAATACTTTAAGTTAATTGTGCGCCATAATTCATGCGCTGACTGTCTGCACGTTCGAAACATTTATTACCGGACTCTCCCTCCCGACAAGTGCGGCAAATCCATATATATATATATATTGTATCCATATATTATTCTCGCATAAGACAGGCAATAGTAATAAAGGCTAACACGACAGCAGCTCAAATAAATTTTCCGATTCAGCGCGGCGAGTCGACAATGGAAACGCATTAGCTGCCATTCCCTCCCCCCCCTCTCTGAACCTCATTTTCACTTCTGTGTTACAGATTTGCAAACTCCAAAGTTAAATTCCTAAACAATGTGCCATTGCAGTCGTACAGTTTTCTGTTTTGCAGTTTTCCAGTTATTGGCCAAAGTATTTTACGATTTGCTCTTTATTTTTATTACACAATTGAAAATGCGTTAAAAATGGTGCATGTAACGGGCGTAGCAAGGCATTTGCGACGCCATAAAGAAAATATATCCTTGAGCAGGATGGAAGGCCGAGTCAATTCCAGATACTATACAAACTAAAGAGGAGCAGCTGCATACCATGCGCGGATTCCTTTTCTTCAAATCGATAAATATCGATTGCCAGTAACTGTTTATTTGGCATTAAGATTTAAGAGACTATTGACAAGTTTATCGATAAATATCAGTTTTGAGTGTAGCTTATTTGTGCACATTCCTCCAAGATCATAGGATATATACATCAATAAATATCGATATTGAGGTGTTGCTCATCTCAAAGATTATGAAAATACACAAAATTTGTCAGGATCAAAAATATATCGTTTAGCTGGAGATCATAAAGCTTAGAAACCACGATAAATAGCGATGTTTTTTGTTTATGTTGAGTAAACTAACTAAAAGGTTAGAGATACAATATTCGACAAGCTCATGAATATAGATCTTAAAGACTAAAATCGATAAATATCGATATACAGCTTCTTTGAATCCAGGAGATTATTGGACTAGAAACACCGAATTTGACATGGGCAAGAGAATGTTGTTTATTTCGTAGATTGTAAGGCTTAAAAACATCGATAAATATCGATATTCATGCAGAAGATACTTATCCAGAAGATAACAAGGCTAAATATACTAAATTTGGCAGGATCAATAATTTGTTTTAAGATTCGAAGATTTTAGCAGATTATAGATAGATATGGGGCTTAGAAAAATTTATAAATATCTATATTCGAGAGACTCCGCGTTTGGCAATCGATAAATATCGATATTAAACCTGTGTTCTGGCTTGTTTAAGACCAAGAATATTTTGAGCATTTCGTGGCTTAGAAAACTCGATAAATATCATTCTTCCGCCTGGGTTTTCAGCTCCATCCGAAGATTATCGGGCTAGATACATCATATTTGGCAATCGATAAATATCGATACTTAACCTTGAAGTTCCGATAACTTCCTAACTATCGCAATACAAGGACAGAAGACTTGGTCAATAACTTACAGGGAAAACGAAAACGTTTGCTTGTTGCGCTGCTGCTTACAGGGTAGCTCGTAGTCAGTCAACATTGACTCGAGCACTTTGACTTGCTTTTTATGTAATTTTTCGCACATTTGTCTCAGTTTTATGCGAATTTTTGAGTGGCTACCCTGGCAAAAAGATCGAAAAGTGGGGCAAAGTATCTGCAGTTTTGTATTTGGGTAATTGGAAAACGTGTGCGGCACATTGCACGGATTTAATGTGGCATTATATTACGTATATATGGCATTATATTGTAATATATACTTTTATATATGAAAATAGTATTTCGATTTGATTTCTCAATTTTTATGCTCATGCTAATGGCATTTTCGTGTTTTCGGTCAGTCTATCAACGCAACGCCAACTGGCGGACAACCGCAGCGGACAGCTTGACAAGTGGCAAGTGGCAAGTGGCATGTGGCATGCGGCAAGTGGTTAGTGGCGAGTGCCTGTGGCAGGTTGGTGGTGGTTCCCAATGATTGAGCTGCCGCCAGCTGCCGCTTGTAAGTGGTATTAGGTCTGTGCCAAGCCGTCGCTCCAAGTGCTGTAAATTTAGCATCAATCTACGCAATTAACTGTATCAATTTGTTAGAAGCCACTTGACGACGCATTCGTGCAGAATTTCTGCGCCTCGATAAGAGGACGCGGCTGCCAGCTGGGGCCGGGGCTGGGGTCGGGCTGGGGCCGGGTCGGGCCTTGGGGCAGCATCTGTGCGAGCCACACCTAAAGATACTCCCATACATATATATATATATATAGATACATACTAGCCGCGGCTACATAGTGCCTATGTAAATGCTTGCCACTTGCCACTTGCCACTTGCCGCAGTGTGGCATGTCGCATGCTGCCGGCTGATAAGCGTTTTAAATAAAATATTCTAGCGCCACGTTTTTGAAAGCATTCAATGATTTTCCAAGCGATTGCACAGCCAGCGATTAAACAATAACAACAACAGCAACTAGCTAGGGTGAGGGGGAGTGAGAAGAGGGGAGAGGGGGGGTTGGGGCTGGCAGCTAAAAGCGTTGGCCACTTTCATGTGCGGCAGTTACTTGAATTTGCCTCCTTCTGCTGCGCTGTGCAGCAGCTTGAAAATGAATTATGTATGTTTATCGATTGCGCATGCCAAAAATACATGCACACATACATGTGTATATGTGTATACATATATGCATGTGTGTGTGTGTGTGTGTGTGTGTGTGTGTGTGTGTGTGTGAGTGCGGCATATATGCATGAGCATATTCGCATAAGATAACTTCCTAGGCGCTGGGAATGGGTGCATATTTTGCCAGTTCTAGCTTTTTTTTGCGGCTTATATTTCGTGGAAATTCTGGCTTTTATTTAAAAAAATTTTAGTTGTTTAGCTAGTGTTTTGTATTAAGTTAATTATTAATACTAAAATATAAAAAACTTAGGCAATTTATAGAACTAAAACTAAGCACAAAAGTTGTCAAATTGAGCTTTGTTTAATAATTATTTAAGCTAAACAAATCATTTTTAATGCTGATTTTGGCTACCTTCACATTTTATAAAATTTTTAGTTCATTTTTATTTTGCATTTTTATATAAGACATTTTACTGCTTCCAAATATATTTAAAAAAAGTATTTTTTTTAATGTTAATAACATTTTGGCTATATTCAGCAAAAAAGTGATAGAAGAAAAAGGCCTAAATTCAAAAGCTTCTCTGATTTAGCTATTTTCCTCCATTTTATCTATTAAAACAAGCCGTATTTCTATTTGACAATAAAAGTTATTTAAAGAAATAGGCACAAATACAAAGGCTTCTTTAATTTTTCCCTATTATAACTAGCTTTTTTCTATTTCGAAAATAAAGTTATATTTATTTTTTGACCACTTTTTCCATGCGAACTAGCTTTGATTCAAAGTAACTAACAGCTTGGTTATATTAAAACTTGAGTTATATATAGAAAAAAGCCAAAGCTCAGCGGATTTTTTGTTTTGTCTATTTTCCGGCCACTATTTTCATTAGAAATAGCTTCTTTTTTTTTCCAAATATCTTACATTTTTATGGCATTCAAATACAATTTATAGATAGAAAAAGTCCAGAATTCAGCAGCTTCTGTGTTTTAGCTATTTTTTTCTACTTTTCAATTTGAATTAGCTTTTTTGCTAAGTTACTGACAGTGGTTATATTAAAACTCAAGTTACATATTGAAAAAAGCCAATATTCAAAGAGACTTTTCTATTTTCCGGCCACTTTTCACCACTTGAAATAGCTTTTTTTTCTCCAAAAAATGTTGGCATTCAAATACAATTTATAAATAGAAAAGTCAAAAATTCAGCAGCTTCTGTGCTTTAGCCAATTTTTCGCACTTTTCCATTTGATCTAGCTTTTTTTCCTAAGTTACTGTTATATAATAACAAAAGTTATGCATAGAAAAAAGGACAAAATTCAGCAGCTTTTTGTTTTAGCTGTTTTTTGGCCATTTTTTCCATTCAAACTAACCTTTATCATGCTTAGTTTTAGCTCTTTTTTTTTGTCAAATTTTAACCACTAAAACTAGCTCTTTTTTCTTGGGCTTTGCAACACTGGTTTGCTCGCGACTTTGACTTACCTTTAACGGCACTTAATTGGTTTCCAACCATCTGTTTCGCAATGAAAGCCGCCATTTTGTTTTATTTTTTCTGTGGCTGCTGTTTGTTTGTTTTTCGGTTGGCTCTGTGGGCGTGGCTCCTGCTGCTGCTGCCGCTGGTTATGGAAAAGTGCACTCGCGGCTGTCGCTGCGCCCAACTCCGCAACTGCAAGAAAAGACAAGAGAGAGAGAGAGAGAGAGAGAGAGAGAGAGAGAGAAGAAAGGCAGCAAATTAAATTGTGCTCAAACAGGACAATGCCCAGGACAATATCCCGGCAACGTTTCCTAGCAATACGCACAGGGCGCCCGCCAAGTTGGCCTGTCACCTGTGCCCCGGCCTGATACTTTAAGCCGATTAGCTTAAATGCCGCCGCCTGGCCGCCTCGACAACTGTCCAAGCGCACATCTTGACAGCTAACAGCTGTGCGTGTGTGTGCGTGTCTGTGTGTGTGTGTGTGCGAGTGTGTGTGTGTGTGTGCCAGAGATGAACGCGGGCCATATTTGCGCCCGCAAGCACGAAATATGTACTTAAAAAGCAGGCCGAGGCAACGCAGCGACTGCTTTTTAGCCCAGCCCCAAAAAGTAGACTACACTTATTTGTAATAATTTTGTTATGCCCTATAATGGCTTATGGGGTAATGTATGTAACAGGCAAGCTTCGTAAAGCATATCTATATATATTCAAAAACAAATAAATAAATATATATATATATATATATATTCTCTATCAGCACGTCGATCTGACTCGATTTATCTTTTTCTCTCTGTGTGAAAGCGTCCATTTTGGAAGCTATTAAAGCTAGATTTAGCCTTAACAAGTAGAAAAAGTTGTATTGTAAATATTCATGGAAGTTTAGTTAAACTTGTTCCCATAATAACAATAAAATATAAAATAAAACAAAAAATAAATAAAATAAATAAACTAAATAAATAAAAGCTGGAGACAGATACATTCTCATATTGCATACGCAGAGCGAGCTTATGATTTCATTTCGATATGTCCTCTCCTATCCATATTATTATTTATTTATTACGTGTTCAATTATTATACAAAAATAATAATATAATAACTAAAGGAGGGAGTGCTAGCTTCTAAGGCCATCGACTCTCCTATCCATAATATCGATAGGTATTTAGATATACATATATAAATTTTGTGATATGGTACTTTAAGTATAACTTAAGGACTTCAAGAGCTAGATACAGAAAACTTGTACTAACTATATTAACTGTATTTAATTTTGATATAGTTTACTTTTCAGATGTTTCCTTCCATTTCCCCGATATATAGTTATTAAAAGATGGAGCCTTAAACTTTGGCATACACATATTTTTGTATGTTTTAATCAAGCCCCGAAAATTTCATTTCAATCGGACTTTAAATACCGAAGTTAATCAAGAACTTGTTTTCCATATTATGTGGCTGGGGAAAGAAAATGAAGACGAAGCTGAGAGATATTGCTATTAGCCCTAAAAATTTCATTTCAATCGGAGTTTAGTTAGACGAAGTTAATCAAGAACGCATTTTCCATAGAGTGTGGCTGGGGAAATAAGAATAAGAAGAAGCTGAGAGATATTGCTATTAGCCTTACATTCAACCTCGCCTTTTTTCCATCTAGTCCTTATTTCGTGCTATTGTGTTTAGGCAGAATCGAGGCCCATCTCTAGTGTGGGAAACACATTTCTGGAATTACCATTCAGTTGTGTTCCTGGTTGCCGTACTACGCATAATCTAATATTAGAGCCGAGGCCCCGCACAATAATGTCCTAATGAATGTGGGCGCAGAGAAAAATAAAAAAATATAAAAAAAAACTGTGCCAGCGAGAATAAGAAAATTTTCAATTTTGTAAATTTTTGCCAAAGGCGAGACGCGCCCCATTTCCATTTGCATTTTCAGCTAGAAGCAGCGGCGGCTTTATAGCCCATGTATTAATATTTGCTCAAATTGGGCTAACGAACTTAAGCTGGGGCGTGGCCAAAAGCGGGCAGGAGGGGCAGGGGCAGGGGGGGGGGGGAGGGAACAGGGCAAAGCTGCAGCAAATTAAAACAACACCAGCTAAACGAGCAACGAAATTAGTTTGACATAAAAAGCAGGGAGGAGAGGAGCAGGGAGGAGAGGAGCAGACAGCATGACAGACTGACAGACTGACAGTCGGACTGACAGATCGGCAGGATGTATAGGACAGGACGCGCTATGTTCCCTCCCCCCTCTCCCCGTCTCTCGCCTGTCCGGCGAGCGTTTCCTGTGCCAAGCTAATGAATTAAGCTGCCGCTGCCAAGCATTTTTCTAGCTTTTGCAGACGCCCTGCGGCCACGCGTCAGCAGAAATTGTTTATTGGGCTAGAAACCCCAACCCCAACCCCAACCCAAACCCCAGCCCCACCCCCTCCACCCCCCTCCACCCCACCCGCAAGCAATCCGCAATAAAAACAGAAAAAAGGAAAAACACATTTTCCGTTTACCAAATTCACTTTAAGCATGCTCTGTGCCGCATAAGAGAGGGAAATGCGGCTTGATTTCCACTCTAAGATTATTTATTTATCATTATTATTTATTTATAAGTTTAGTTAACTAACTGTCTGATCCAAGGAATAGTTGGCCTCTCTAAAATTTGGCATACCGAACGTTTAGTAAAATGGTGTGAAAATAATGTCCAAATATATGCGATGAGACTTTTTGTATATTAACAACCTAGAATTCTTTATGCAAAACTTCTAATCTTGGTTTTATTTTAGACTGAATAATAAAAGAGTTATTTTAGAGTTAATTTTAATAAATGTCTTCGCTTTTCGAGACCATTGAAATATATCAAAATATAGTTTCGAAGGTCTGCACAGATTACGCAAGAATTTCTGATTTTTGGTTTATTTTCTTTTAGATTATTACTATTATTTTTTTCGTAACTCTGAAATCCTGAGAAAAGGAAATGTTATTTACATATAATAAATATATCAGAATATAGTCTAAAGCTTCAGGTCCTATGCAAGAGTTGTAATTTTTCGTCTATTTAATTTAAGTTTTATTTTCGTTACTCTGAAATCTTCAAAGAGATTAAGTGAGAAGTAGTAGAAGCTTCTAAGAATATATAGTTTTTTGTTAAAAAAGGTTTTTGTGTTTTAAAGGCAATTTTATAAATTCCAATAAATGACCAATATATTCTGAAGATCCAAACCCCATGCAACATTTCTGATATTTGGTCTATTTTATTTTATTTTATTTTATTTAATTTTATCATGTCTTTATAGAGATTGACTGAGGGATAAAAGATTTATTAAAATAATAAAATATATTCTGAAGGCCTAATTATTGTTACATTGTTATATTATGGTATTTTAGAAAAATCTATTAAAAATATAGAACTTGTCTAAAAAAACAACATTCTATAGAACAATTCCTTGAGAGACTCAGAACAAATCTACTTTCTGGCAATTCTTGTAGGGTAATTGTTAGTCGAGCATGCTCACATAGAACTCACCTATTGACGGACATATATTATATTAGAAAATTTTAGAAAATTCTATCATTAAAAAATCGAAATATTGAGAGATTTTCTTCTACAGAATAAATCTACTTTCTGGCAATTCCTGTAGGGATTTTCTTGCAGGGTAATTGTTAGTCGAGCATGCCCACATAGAACTCACCTATTGACGGACATATACCTATTATATTAGAAAATTCTATCATTAAAAAATGGAAACATTTTTCATAAATAAGAATTTGAGAGAACTTCTCGTGCAGAGTAAATCTAATTTCTGGCAATTCCTGTAGAGTATTTCTTGTCGGGCTGTTCTTGCAGGGTAATTGTTAGTCGAGCATACTCTCGCTCGTGCTCAGCTCAGCTGTCAGTTAACGGACTTAACGAAATTCAGTTAAATTTTTGAAGCGAAAGCCTGTCGAGAACATGGTTAGAAGTGTGGAATAACCGAAGGGTCCTGCTGCCAAGTCCGGCCCAGGGCTTTTGGGCCTTGGACCTATAATATATGTAAATAAAAGGCGCAAATTTATGGGCTTCGTGTTTAGAATTCGATGGGGCCAGCTGCTGTTTCAGCGACTACTGCTGCTGCCTCTCTCTCAAGGTGTGCCCCAACAAAAGCGAATTCCCATTTCTTTTGCTTCGTATCCAATTACCTTTCAAGTTGTTTTTGTGTGTGATACGAATGAAGCTAAAGCCAATAAACACGCAAATAAGCCAAGTTGAGTTGTGCTCGTTTCTATGGCGCCGCCAAAGGGTTCCTTCCACAAAGGATCGAGGAGTGGGGTGGGGCGGGGCTGGGGGTCTGGTCAACACCTGTATTAAGTATACGCTGCGTAAGCCTGCTCAAATCCGACTGTCAAGTGGGAACCCTTTTTCCTGCCTCGGCTTCTTTTAAGTGCTCACAAATCGATTGAGAAACTGGCAAGAGTGTGCCCGACTAGCAGATACCCTAAACAAAAGCTGCGCACTAAATGTGCTTCCTCTTCCCCTTGCTCTATGAGAAAGGAATTCTTGATAAACTTCGGAGCTTACAGTCCGATCTTTATGAAAATAACAGAGCATGAATATCGCAAAGAAAAGTTTTTTCATACGAAAGCGCAAGACTCTACATTTAAAATTTGCGTTTTTTTTTTTTTGGTCTGAATAGAGGAGTATAGGAAGGAGGAATAGAGATAGGCATCCAAAATGTGAAATATTTTTAATTTTTGTATCTTTTACGATAAGCTATATTAAAAGTTTTGCGTATTTAGCTCTTATAATCATCGAGTTAAGCCTAAAAAACCTTGTCACAAAATCGATATTTATCGATGTCATGGAAATATTAGGAACTATCGAAATAAATTTAGAGATGCATTCCGCTTATGTTATAGAGGAATATCTTTATTCATTAACAAGTCGGAGCTCTTGTAGTTTTCTAGTTCACACAGACGGCATTTATCGATATTTATCGATGTTATGGAAATATTAGAAGATATCGAAGTATATTGAGAGACGATTATTTACAGACTATATTTATTCATTTTCAAGTCTCCAGCTCTTGTAGTTTTCAAGTTCAGACAGACGGAATCGATGTGCCTTATCCCGATATCGATTCTATATGCCGATATTTATCGATCTTATGGAAATATTAGGAGATATCGAAGCATATTTACAGATGCGTTCTGCTTATGCATAGAAGAATGTCTTCATGCAATATCAAGTCTCAAGCTTTTGTAGTTTTCTAGTACACACAGACGGAATTCATGTGAATCGATATTTATCGATGTTATGGAATTATTGGCAGATAACGAGGTATATTTAGAGAAGTACCTGCTTGTGTTATAGAAGAATATCTTTATTTAATATAGAGTTTGTAGATCTTGTACAGACGGAATTCATGTGAATCGATATTTATCGATGTTATGGAATTCTCAGGAGATATCGAAGCATATTTAGAGATGCGATCTGCTTATATTTTAAACGAATATCTCCATTCATTTTCAAGTCTATAGCTCTTGTAGTTTTCTAGTTCACACAGAGGGGCATTAGGAGATCGAATCTTCTTGGAGATGCCTCCCCTCCCCCCGTGCCATGTTACATACATTCGCACACACAAGAATGGTTTTCTTGCCCTTTTTGCCCATTTTCTTTAACAAAATCAAAACTTCTGATTAGGTGTAACTGTGAGGGTCTGAACTCAGGTGTCTTGGGGCACTTCGGGCGTGAAAATGCGCAAAGTTTATGCAAGCATTTGGCGAGTTTTAGAGAGTTGGCCCCTCGCTTTGAAGCGCACTTTTCGCATACTTTGAATGCTTTGCTATACTTTCTGGCGACTTTCAGATACTTTTAGCTACTTTCAGATACTTTTAGCTGGGCAGCTGTGCACACACTCACTTACCTGCTGCTCGGTAAATATTCCGTTCAGATTTTTTTTCCCGTGCGTGTGTGCGTGTGTGTTTGTTGTGGCTGCAAACAGTTCTTGTTCTAGTTCTTGTTGTTCTTGTCTTGTTGTTGTTGTTGTAGAAGAAGCAAAGTTGTTGAAAGTTGTTTGTGTTGCTGTTTTTTTAAGGAAATCCACAAAGAAGAGCGAGCATCAGACAGAAAGAGTTGCTGCAAAAAGTAAACACAGATAAAAGAAGGGTAGTCAAAAAAAAAAAAAGAAATAACAATTGCTTATATAAGTGCTTAAAAGAAAGAGCTGCAGATAGTCGATTAGATAAGGATAGAGCGCATTGATTTTAATGAGTGTGTGCCTTGAGGGTCACGCCAATCGACTGTGAACCCTGCATAGCACAAGAACCTATTGACATTGCGGCTAATTTGAGCACACACGCTGTGTGTGCGTGTGTGTGTGTCTGTGTGTGTGTGTTGTCTCTATTGTTTTTTAATACACTTGCAAAGCGTATTTTCATTTCGTTGTGAAATATGAGACGGGCTGGGATATATACGCTAAAAACAGTCGGGTCGTTATAGCCATGTTCGACTGTCCGACTGTCTTTCTGTTTCTCGACAAGCTATAGCTTGGTACTACAGTTAAAATCGCCCAAAGTTTTGAATAACAGTTAAAAATGTTAAGTAAGTGCTTTTCTTAATAAAAGATAAATATTTTGTAATATTCAAGCGTCTTACAACACTTTAGTTTTAATTTTTTGGCATTTTCCTTATGATTTGATCATATTTTTTCTTGAATCTTTGAGTTTTTTTGAAGCTAGCTTGGTAAAACCTAAACAGGTAAAAATTTCAAGTAAATACTTCTCTTAATTAAAGATAAATATTTTTTTTTAATATTCAAGCGCCTTACAATACTTTAGTTTCATTTTTTGGCATTATTTAATCATACTTTTTCTGTAATCTTTTATTTTTTTAGAGTAAAGTTGATGGTACCTGAAACCTGATACCTGATCTTGGATCATATAAGCTAGACAGGCGTGAAATAATCTATCAAAAATACAGTTTTTCTTTGAAAAAAAAGGCTATTACAAACTTTACTAGGCTCTTAAGTTATAGACAAAACCCGATCGGCATTGGACAACCATATCACAGGGTTACCATGGAAACAATCGATCAAAGTTTAAAATATAGTAGGAAATCGGACTAGTATAACATATACTGACTTTTATTTGGCTATTTTCAAGCTATTTGCACCCAACCAAGCAGCTGATATATAAATGCAGAGTATCTAAGCTTCGTTGCCTCAAATATAACTGTTATTTCTTGTTATTTTGAGCATGTGTGTGTGTGTGTGTGTGTGTGTTCATGTTTTGTTGTTTTTATCGATATTTCTTTATTAGGGTTTCTTTTATGCGAGCGTGCACGTAAGTGCCCATTACGAGGCTGGGGCGAGCGGAAGGGAGGGGGGTGGGGAGGGGAGGGGGGGGGGGCAGCATATAGGTGAGCCACACACACACACACAGACACATATAACATTTTTACGTAACACACGCTGCTGCTGACTGTTTTAATCAAATTTTGAAGAACTTTGACACTTTCAGGCCGCCGATTACATAAAGTTGCCGCCGCCGCCGCCGTCGCCGTCGTCGCCGTCGCTGCTGACGCCGTCGATTCGAGCAATGCAGCTGCACAGCGCACAGCAATTTAATTGTTTATAATTGAATTAGTTTTGTTTTATTGTTGTGCCTCATTTTCGAGCAGTGCATCTGTGTGTGCGTGTGTGTGTGTGTTTATATATTTATGTGTATATTATTCGATTATATGTGTCTGTGTTACGCAGCGTCTGTTCTCAGGCATATAATGTACACACACATACACGCACGCACTCACACACTGGCATGTGCGTATGTGCTGGTATTTTTTTTTTTTTTTATTTTTTTTTATTTAATACTTTTGTGCACTTTACTTTCGCAATGGTATTTAATACGGGGCGCTTCTTACTTCATGCTATGTTCGCACTCTTCTGTGTCGCACGGCCGAGTCGCCTACATGGAAAACTCGTGCCGTTGCGGCGCGCACCAAGCAGAGCAGAGAACACCAGCTGTAGGCTGGCTGCGGCGCCAGCGTCAGCGTCAGCGTCGCAGCCGTAACGGCGCCTAAAAACAACAACAACAATAACGAAAGCTAAAAAGCGCTCAACAAAATGCTGGCTGGCCAAAGCTTTTTGGCGAAATTCCCCGCTCAATTGCTTGAGTGAGTGCCGACTAGCTGTGCCGCTCTAACGCACAGGCTGCCGCATAGGCGCACGAGCGCAGCGCGCTCTTCGAGTCGGCTCCACATTAGTCGCTGGCTGAAAGTGTGTGTGTGTGTGTGTGTGTGTGCGTGTGCGTGTGTGCGTGCGTACATAATAGCTTTTGGCTTTTTAACTAATAATATATTTATTTGCCGTCGCGTTCGTCTACTTCTATTTCTATTACATAATTTTTTTTGCTGGCGCCCCCTCTCGCTCTCTCTCTCTTCCTGTCGCACACGCTCGCACTCGCTCTCTCTTGACTTTTTGACTTTGAAATAAAAAGCGTTGCCTACTTATTTGCGCCCGGCGCCTGCGCCACGCAAATGGAGAGTCCGCCACGACGTGCCAAGTTTTCCGCTAAGCACTGCATATGGCCACATTATGCTTTATTGATTTGTTGTTGTTGAGATAATGGCCCCCCCACACCCCCCTCCCAAAAAAAAAGAAGTTAACTGAAAGAAAACGTTGTCCCCAACTGGCACTGATAAGCCCAGCATATGGCACAGCTGCTAAAGAGTTATGCGCCGAGGCCCGCTTTTGCCTGCGCCTTTGTTCGCCTGTCACTTGCCATTAGCTCACACACACACATGAACGCACACACACACACATGCGTCTAACTTTGTGGCTCAACGGAAGCGCACAGCTTGAAAGTAGGAAATTGCAAAGTTCTTTGCCACGTCCGCTCGACTGTGGTCAGCATTTAGCCAAGTGCATCAATTGCCTTAAGGGGCCACAGCCTGTCTCTGGCACTGGCCGCAGCCAATCGCAAGAATTCTAATTAGTGTGATATAAATCCAACAAATGCTCGACTTTATTGTTCTGCACTTTATCAATTATAGTGCGTGTGCGTCCGTCTGTGTCTGTGTGTGTGTGTGTGTGTGTGTGTGTGGCTCTGCTTTATATAGTAATCAGTTATATTTTCTTTCATTTATACTTCGATTATTTTTCTTCTTTTTTTTTTCGCCTCGCCACAAATTGCTTATTACAGACCGACCGACCGCCCGCCCCCGCGTCCGTCCGTTCCCTGTGGGCCGCTACCTGCGCTACTTTTCTGCTTGAGATGAATGTCACGTTCTGGCCACAGGCGAATTGCGTGGAATTCCCTTGGGTAATGCGTGGGCTACGGTTACTTTGTTTTTAATGCTCGCTTTCTTTCTTCTTTTTTTTGTGTTAGCGAAAGGGAAATGTTGAAAAATGTCTGCACTTGCTTTTATATTGATGAGTCGCAACGGGACTCGCTTCTGGCAGCAGCTTACCTACAACCGTTGAAGGCACCGTTAAACGCACTACAAAACAACAACAACAAATGTCTCTGCAAAATTTCTGTTATATATTTTTCACTTTGCTCTGCTCCGCGGCGCTAGAACAACAACAACAAATCCGTTTTTGCCACTGGCATACACAAAAAACAAACAGGCTTTTTTTTTTTTTTTGTTTCTCCAGCCAAACTACAACGAAAATGCCAAATAACTGTTATCCTATGCAAACGCAAACATGCAAAGAGCGCCAAACTAGCGAGAGAGCGCGTGCGAGAGTGTGAGAGAGAGCGGGCGTACGGGCGTGCGTGCGACAGAGCCAGCTGGCAACGGGAGCGCGGGCGCCAGAGCGAGAGCGCCTATCGAGTGGCTCTCAATTTGGCCGCCCACTGGCTGTCAGTTTTGACAGTTGACCCCAAACGAAAGCTCTGGCCGGAAAAAAGCTTACTGACTGCAAATTGGCTAGCCAAAAGCAGAAGAAACAAACCTGATAGTGCAGCAATGCGACAATAAGATAAATGTTAACTGTTAAATTTATCTTTAAATGTAACTGTCAGCTGCTTACACACAGGCAAATTGTTGGCCGATTAACGAATCCACGGAAATGGCAACCGGCGACTGGCGCATGTGTGTGTGCTGGTCTTCTTCTTCTTCTTGCTGTTGTTTATCTTGTGGCTTTTTTATTGGAGCTGTTCCGCTTGTAAATTTTTAGCACACACACACACACACCGGAAGTTGTCGAGCGTACACTGATAAAACAGACTAAGGCCTGGCTGTCTTGCTAAGCCCCCCCTACCCCCCATCCCTCAAAAAAAAAAAAGGAATGTAATTTTTACAAGCGAGGTGGCAACACCGCCTCACACACACACACACACACGCACGCACACATGCTTGCATAGAATTTGGCGAGAACGCGCGCGCGCTTTGCTACACTGTAGCTGCTGCGTATGTGTGCGTGTGTGTGTGTGTGTGCGTGTAAGAGGCGTATAGGTAATTTATATAAATTATTTAATTAAGCCATGTACGTCAGCGCGCGGCATAAAGCCCATTATTTAGATTAAAATCAAACCCATTACGTTTTATGCCACCTGTCTTTAGCGGGTTTCCTTCGTTATTCTTTTCGCCTCCCCCTCCCCCCCTCTCTCTCCCCCCCGTCCCGTCGTTCACAATTTGCACGTCTATTGGTTTTGTTATGATTGCTTTTGGCATTGCCTTTTGCCGCCTCTTCCGTGACGCCAACGCCAGGCAAATTGGCCACATTTGGCGCGTGCCAGCAGTTTTCGGCTTTGTTGGATGCCTTAATGACTGCTGGGAGAACGAACCCCCCCTGCCCCCTCCTGCTCCTTCTTCTGCTCCTTCTACTGCTGACGCCTTGTTTCCTTGGAGCCTCTTTTCCCCTGGTACACAGCGCACATTATTATTATTTTGAATGACCGATGCTGTAATACTCTTAAGAAAGTCCACAAATGATTGATTGTTATTTATATAACGGGCATTACCCGGCGTTGCTCGGGCCAAGTTTTCTTTTTTAAATCTAAGACTTTTGTTTTTCCAGCCTATTTGGAACTTTACAATCGGAAATGAATTTGAAAGCTATTGGGGGAAACTTGAAACTTTATCTCCCATATAACCTTTGACCCACATACGCCTACCAGGTGCTGGATTTTTTGAAAGGACGTTTCATGCTTTGTCTAATGAAAAATCAACAATCAACATAAACTTTCACGAAGATCCTTGGATGTGATTTTATACTCCAAATTTCGTCCATTTCACACCAAATGCATGGGTGGAAATTGCGAAACGTGTGAAAATAATCTCAAATGAATTTTTAGAATAATTTTCAGAAATGAACTTGAAGCCGATATAATGATTAAGACAAAAGTTTCATACAAGCATTTTTCACGAATTTTCCACATTTGCGGCTGGAATTACCCTCATATAAATCACATAAGCTAACTACAGTAAAAATTAGAGCTTCCTAGAGCTTACGTCTTGGGCTGCACGTTGGGGAAAAAAGTTTTATAAATCTACATTTTTGTATCCATTTTTTTCTTATTAATTTTCGTATAGTATAGAGTTATGAACTATAGAAACCTAACTATTCGAAATAACACTAGTTTCTATGGCCTTCGGCTAAGCTAATATTTCAAGCATACCTTAGGATTCTTGGACAACTCATATACATAATTTGTTTTGCACAGCGAATTCTATAAGACTTCAATAAAATATAATTTAACATATAACCGAATGTTATGATTAATTTACTTTTATGATTTTCTTCTCAGAGAAATCAAATGTGACATAAAAGCAATTTCATGAAAAGGTCCAATAATGAAAATATCATCAAAGAAAATACATTTTCTTTTATTTTTCTGTTGAAAAAAAATGCAAAATAAATTGTGCTTTTATTGCTGTGCGTCCATTTTGATGACTTCCCTTAAAGTTCGTTTGCCCAAAACTCACTTTTAGCCAAGCGACAATTTTTAAGTGTTGATTAATGCGCAACGCCTGCTTCGTTCAGTGTTGAATTACAAAATGAGACTCTTGCTCAGCGAGCTAATTATTCCAGGGCCTACAACATGAGAAATTAGTTTTGGAAGACGAACTCTTAAAGATTTCAATAAAATATAATTTAGCATATAACTGAATGTACTTTTAAAATTTCCCACTCAAAGAAATCAAATTTCATGAAAAGGTCCCATAATGAAAATATCATCAAAGAAAATACATTTTCTTTTATTTTTCTGTTGAAAAAAAATGCAAAATAAATTGTGCTTTTATTGCTGTGCGTCCATTTTGATGACTTCCCTTAAAGTTCGTTTGCCTAAAACTCACTTTTAGCCAAGCGACCATTTTTAAGTGTTGATTAATGCGCAACGCCTGCTTCGTTCAGTGTTGAATTACAAAATGAGACTCTTGCTCAGCGAGGTAATTAAATTTTGTACTCATCTATACACTTCCCTCGCTGCTGTGCGCCTGCTTTTGAGTCGCTTTCATCGCGATTATTTTGTGCCCATTCTCTTGGCACATTCTGTATTGTTTTGTGTGTGGAAAATTGTTTGCTTGTTTGATATCGGAAGCCAATGGAAAATGCAATGGAGCAATCGCACTTGGTCCGCAAATTGATTTCGTTCAATGCGTAGGCAAAAATGCCATTCTAAGTGATAAAGTTAATTTACCCGCACTCCGCTGACAGCCATGATATTTAATACAGGCTGCTATCGTGACGCCTCCCCCACCTATCCCCTTTCCATGCCACGAGCTGAGGGGCAGCTCCAGTTGCGGTCCTCGTCAATCAATGTGAATTCAAGAGCAGCCGTCGCCAAAGATGACAACTAAACTTCACTTCACTCGCAGACAATGTCATGGTTTTTGGTGGCAAAAGCACAAACCAGCCGAGGGGCGGGGCTGAGTGGGAGGTGGATGGGGGGCGGGGCGGTTTTACACGGCGGAGTGGCTTAATTTAAAACGGTTTCATGTTGTGATTTTGACAAATGATAATGTTTTTTTTGCATGCCCGCGTGTGTGTGCGTGTGTGTGTGTGTGTGTGTGTGGCAGGCTGTGTGCGATAGCTTTTGTGTTTGCCATGTCATCCAAGCTACAAGTACGATATCTCTGCCCCCCCCCCCCCCACCTCCCCTCCACCTCCTCCGCGTCCTTTGAGTCTGTAATTTTGTAGTGGTCGATGAGTTGGCACAATGCGCGCGACAGATAAACGCCCCAGCCCACGTCACGCCCCGCCCCGCCCCCAACCCGCACACAAAACTTGCAGAGTGTGTCAAAGGGTCGTTAAGTAAATAAGCTGCCTGCCACACACACACACACACACACACCCAGTTACACATTGATATAATACACAGCAAAGTTTCAGTTTCAGTTTGAGTTGATCAAAAAACTACGTACATCTAGGCTAACCAGCCCCCTTCCCATCCCCCCTTGCCCCTTCCCGTAGCAGGCCCACAGCCAACACGGCCGTACAATAGAGTCCTTCTGCAGCGGACAGCGAAACGGGCGCCAGGACAAGCAATCAACAGCCAACAGGCAGCAGGCAGCAATGTTGCAACAATTTATTGATTTAACAACAACAACAAAAAAACAATCTAGCAAGAGTGCTCTAGTATTTCTAGGGAGTGCACGACTAGCAGATACCCTAACATCAGCAACAAGCTGCCTTTAGAACATATATAAATACATTTTTTCCAATACTGGAAAGATATATGTAATAATGTGATCGGTGCTTATAGTCCGATCTATATTAAAACTTCCTTGGATTTAATTCGGTGCTCAAGGTCCGATAATTATGAATATTTCAGATCATGAATATGGCATAAAAAAGTGTATAAAATGTAACATTTTCCCAACACTCGAAAGATATGATCGGTGCTTATAGTCCGATCTCTATCAAATATGTTCAAAGTCCGATTTAAGAAATTTTCAAACATTGAATATGACATAAAAAAGTGCATGCATATCAAAAATTTAACTTTTGTTTTTAACCTTTACAATGTAACATTTTTCCAACACTGGAAAGACATGATGCTGCATCCATAAAGTGAAATATTATTAATCTGTGTATACTTAAAAAGAATCTATATACCAAATTTTTGTACTATCTAGCTCTTATAGACTTTGAGCTATGGTTAGAAAATTATATATCGAAATCGATTTTTATCGATATCATTAAAATGGGGGGCGGCATAAAAAAGTAATGATAAGCTTCTTCTGCGTATGGTTAAAGAGAATATATATATTTTTAATTTCAAATCTTTAGCTTTTGTAATTTCCCTTTACCAACATCGCAAATATCTCCTTCCTAGCGTTACATATTTAGTGAAAAAAATGAGTATGCCATTTGCAAGTGTATGAAAAGAGGACAAAAAGCTGAGCGGGAGCGGGAAAAGTGAAATCGACAAAGCCAATGCCGAGGTTGTTGTCGTTGGTTGCCTGGGAAATGGGAAATGGGATTGGGAATAGGAGGAATCAGAGCTCAGCCGGCTCAGTCGGTGTGTGGCCAAAACCAATAAGACTGGCAAATTGGCCAAATGTGTATATACGGCTAGCAGCATGTCCGAAAATATAAACAACAATCAGGTCAATAAAATTGCAAGCCAATCGACATCGATGTCATCGTCGGATCCGACGCCCGTCGCCTGGCCAAACTTTGAGGCGCGCATTCTGAAGCAGACGGTGCACAGCGTCTGCCTCGACTGGACGCCCAGCCCTAATCCCGCCCGAGTCTACTCTGTGGAGAAGTACCACCGGCGACATGGCTGGCAGCAGGTGCTCTGGACGAGCACGAGTCCTCAAACTATCCACCAGCTGGAGGAGAACTTTGGCCATCGTCTGCGCATCCGAGCGCTGCAGCCGGCTCCGGATGGCAGCCACTACGAGACGCTGGCCATCTCGCCGGATATTATTGTAAAACGTTTATTGCCCTAATTATGATTGAAATATCCTAGAGTTGTGACTGAGACTTGGTGGGGTGTATTCCAGAGCGTAGCCAGCGCAGTCGAGGGTATTTGAAATATCAAAGAAAGAGATTTTTTTGGGGTAGATCTTTCAACTTAGTTATAAGACTGAGAAATTTATCATTTTTGGAGTTACAATAATAATTTTTAGGAATTAAATTCAAATCTGGATTGATGAAGATAAGTCAAGAGTGTTAAAGTAAGAGCACGGAGAGAGTGAGAGAGCAAGGGCGAGTGAGAGGGGGAGAGAGAAGGGAAGAGAGAGGGAGAAAGCAAGAGAGAAAGAGAGAGAAAAAAAGAGAGGGAGAGAGAGAGAAAGCGAGAAGGAAAGACAGAGCCTCTCGGCCTCACTTGAATTCATGAGAATCGCATAGAAGAGCGATATTTCAAAAATGAAATGTCCTATTAAAGCCCAGTGGGATGTAAAATTGGTATGCATAAATACATACGCACATACATGGATCTATAAACACATGCATGCTTACACACAAATATATACGTACATGCACACACATACAAACACAAGCACATATTCACAGGGATACACGCACATACATACATATACACATGCATACAAAATGCACACGTATTTGAAATCTTATGGAAACTGATAATCTTAATTTAATATTTACTTGTAGAATCTATTAGATAATCTTAATTTTATAGCTACTTATGTATAATCTATTATATAATATCTCGAAATCTTATGTTTTTGTATGCCAAGTCTTAAGTTCTTGATGGAAGTCTAAAAGTAGATTTGCATACTAAGTATAATAAATAGGCAAGCTTATAAGAAATTAATATATAAATATGCATTTATGTATATTAATTTTGAATATGCCCAAAGCCATGAAATAGATTGTAAAAAATTCAGATATTAATATTAATTTTGGATATGCCAAAAAGTCTTAAAATACTGTGGCTTATTATGCCTTATTCATTTAAAAATGTTAAGAAAATGTTTTGACATGCTAGGATATTTAGTTCGACTTGACTTGATTCCAGAGATAGGCTAAAAGTTGAAGGATATGATATTTATTTTTTCTTAATACTCAAATGGGATTGGACAAAAAATAGAACAATATAGGATAGTCTGTATAATAGAATTGGGTACAAAAATTGCTTTAATTATATAATAATATTAATAATTTTGAATAATGTAAACCTTTCCTTTTCGTAAGCTAGTTATGGGAAGCCCGTATAATTCTGGGATATTCGATTTGATGTATATTTATTTAATCAACATTTTGTACCCATTTAGGCAACCACGGAGGCGTCGCTGCCGTCGACAAATTGCTTGCATCGCGCCATTCGCAAGTCGCAGCAGTTTCTGGTGAAGCGCATGCTGCGCCGCCGACCCAGCCTGGTTGACTATCCGGGCCCGAACGGTTATCTGCCGCTGGCCAATGCCATTATGCAGGGCGAGATGTGCATCATCGATGTCCTGCTCTCGGCCGGCTGCAGCGTCCAGCTGGGCAATCCCCAAAACGGACGCAGTCCGCTGCACGTGAGTTGGCCAGCATTTTGGGATTCTATATGTATGCCTGACTACGTTGCAGCTGGCCTTCTATCATGGCCACCTGCCCTCGGCCCGCATACTGCTGAACAAAAAGGCGCAGCTGGAGGCGACCGACTGCAATGGGATGACGCCCGCCCACTGTGCCGTGGACGCCAATCGGCTGGAAATGGTCAGGTTCGCACTGGAAGCGGGCGCCAATCTGGAGGCGAGAGATGCCTGCCAGTGGACGCTGCTGATGCGCGCAGGTGAGCACGCCCAGGGCACAAAATTTCCCAATTGGACTCCAACCACCTCCGCCTTTATCCCCCCCCCTCCCCCCTGGCAGTGGTCATGGACGCCAGCCTGGAGCTTATCAAGCTGCTGGTTACCCACGGCGCCGACTTAACGGCTCGGGATGCTCTCGGCAAAAGCTGCAGCGATTTGGCCAAACTTTATCGCCGGCAACAAGCCGGGGATTACTTCGACAAGGTGCACAGGTTTCGAGAGGAGAAGGCAGCGGCGATGGCGGCAACCGCGGCCAACACGCAACCGCAAAAGGATTAAATGCACCCGGCCGGCTAATAGGATAAAGCGCTCCTTTTGAAGGACACACTAATGAGCATAATCTTAGGGGCTAAGCACGTGCTATACCCTGGCAAAGTGAGCTTGTAAATGGGTATATTGAAACAAATAAGCACTTGGTATACCCTAGCAAAGTAAGCTTGTAAATGGGTATATTGAAATATGTTGGATTAAGTCTTTATAAAATAAGCAAACTTATGTGTTAATAAAATGTGTTAGGGGGGCACATATATTGAAAAGTATATTATCTGTACACTATCTAGATCTGACAAAGATGACGAAAAGTACATTATCTACATAGTTACAAACCTACTACTTACAAACATACATGCATACATACATACATACATACAATACATACATACGTACATACATAGATACATACATACATACATACACTCATACGTACAAACACATACACACATACATACATACACTTATACGTACATACACACATACACACATACATACACACATACATACATAAACACATCCATACATACATACATACACACATACATACATACCCACATACATGCCAGCTTGCATATACATATACATATGTATGTCTATATAGAATATTTCAGGGTACCATTTTGACATGAATTTGGACCAAATATAATGTTGCCAGATTTAGATGCCAAATTGATTTATAGGCCAAACTATGAACAAAAAGTCTAATTTTATGAAAATTAGTTAATTTTTTACCGAGATATGGAGGTGGGAAGTTTGAACCTATGTCTATATACGATATTTGAGGGTACAATTTCTGCTTGAATTTTGACCAAGAATAATGTTGTCAGATTTATATGCCAAATTGATCTGGAGGCCAAACCATGAACAAAAAGTCAAGTCTTATGAAAATCGGTTGATTTTAGACAGAGTTATGGAGGTGGGAAATTTTGACCTGTGTCTATATAGGATATTTGAGGGCATAATTTCCACTTGAATTTTGACCGAGAATAATGTTGTCAGATTTAGATGCCAAATTGATTTATATTCAAAACTATGAACAAAAAGTCAAACATTATGAAATTCGGTTGATTTTTGACCGAGTTATAGATGTGGGAAATGTTGACCTGTGTCTATATAGGATATTTGGGGGTACAATTTCTGCTTGAATTTTGACCAAAAATAAATTTGTAAGATTTTGATGCCAAATTGATTAATATTCAAAACTATGAACAAAAAGTCAAACATTATGAAATTCGGTTGATTTTTGACCGAGTTATAGATGTGGGAAATTTTGATTATGTCTATATAGGATATTTGGAGGTACAAGTTCTGCTTGAATTTTGACCAAGAATAATGTTGTCAGATTTATATGCCAAATTGATTTATAGACCAAACCATGACCAAAAAGTCAAGCCTTATGAAAATTGGTTGATTTTTCACCAAGTTATGGAGGTGGGAAGTTTGGACCTGTGTCTATATAGGATATTTGGGGGTACAATTTCCGATTGAATTTTGGCCAAGAATAATAATGTCAGATTTGGATGCCAAATTGATTTATAGACCAAACTATGAACAGAAAGTCAAACCCTATGAAAATCGATTGATTTTTGACCGCATTATGGGGGTGGGAAATTTTGACATATGACTGTACGGGATATTTGAAAGTACAATATCTGGTTGAATTTTGACCAAGAATAATGTTGTCAGATTTAGATGCCAAATTGATTTATAGGCCAAACTATGAACAAAAAGTCAAACATTATGAAAATCGGTTGATTTTTGACCGGGTTATGAAGGTGGGAAATTTTGACCTGTGTCTATATAGGATATTTGAGGGCACAATTTCCACTTGAATTTTGACCAAAAATAATGTTGTAAGATGTTGATGCCAAATTGATTTATAGACCAAACCATGCACAAAAAGCCAAACTTTATGAAATTCGGTTGATTTTTGACCAAGTTATGGAGGTGGGAAATTTTGACCTATGTCCATATAAGATATTTGGGGGTACAATTTCTGCTTGAATTTTGACTAAGAATAATGTTGTCAGATTTAGTTGCCAAATTGATTTATAGACAAAACCATGAACAAAAAGCCAAACCTTATGAAAATCGGTTGATTTTAGACAGAGTTATGGAGGTGGGAAATTTTGACCTATGTCTATATAGGATATTTGAGGGTACAATTTCCACTTGAATTTTGACCAAAAATAATGTTGTAAGATTTTGATGCCAAATTGATTTATATTCAAAACTATGAACAAAAAGTCAAACATTATGAAATTCGGTTGATTTTTGACCGAGTTATAGATGTGGGAAATTATGACATATGTCAATATAGGATATTAGAGGGTACAATTTCTGCTTGAATTTTAACCAAGAATAATGTTGTCAGATTTAGTTGCCAAATTGATGTAGAGGCCAAACTATGAACAAAAAGTCAAACCCTATGAAAATCGATTGATTTTTGACCGCGTTATGGGGGTGGGAAATTTTGACGTATGTCCTATGACCTATTTGAGGGTACAATTTCCACTTGAATTTTGACCAAAAATAATGTTGTCAGATTTAGATGCCAAATTGATCTGGAGGCCAAACCATGAACAAAAAGTCAAGCCTTATGAAAACCGGTTGATTTTTGACCGAGATATGGAGGTGGGAAATTTTGACCTATGCCAATATAAGATATTTGAGCGTAAAATTTTTACATGATTTTTGACCGAGCTTTGAGGGTGGGAAATTTATATATAGAGATATACTGATTTCATAAAATGCCAAGAATTTAATACCCATATAAGACCATTTTGTATACCCTGTAATGATGAAAATGATTCCACTGTGGTACAACAGATATAAGGCAGATAACTTCCTATAGATTAGGCTAGATATGTGGGATGGATACATCCATGTATATACACAATAAACAATAAATTGTTTATACAGGGTATCTTAGAATAAAAGCTTAATCCGTCTCTAATAAAAGACTGGACATGTATAATACATTGAAAGAAATAAATGGCATGTAGACATAAGAAGTTTCGAATGGATAGGCTCTTTAGTGTACAAAATATACCCTGTAATCATTAAAGTGATTGTTAATGGGTATACCTAAGTAATATTCCAAAAATATAGTTTATATTAGAGTAAAGTTTCGATTAGAGCAGCTCTTATTTTAAAAAATTCATTAAGACGGAATCAAAAAAAGGTATGTTAAGAATTGAAAAAGAAGATATTATTTAACAGCTTTGCAGCACTTTAAACCTCAGTAAAGGGTATCTGCTAGCCGACTACAGTCGACCTGTGTAAAATTTATTAATTATTTGAGCTTGGCATACAGTTTGAACTACAACTAGATGGAATTTAGACACAGTTCCTGGCCGTATCTGTCTGATAGCCGCACGAGTAGGTATTGAAGAAGTCGGCGTTCTCCTTGAGGCCCAGGTAAAAGACATGTTCGGCCAGTTCCTTGCCAAACTCACAGAAGTTCTGGGCGTAGAGCGTGAAGAAGAGGCGCTTATTGCTCAGCTGATATTGGCGAAGGATCTCGTTCTCGTGATCGTAGATCTCGCGATGCTTGGTCGACGACTGTATCCAGTCGGAGTACTCCTGCCAGGTGTGCCGGAAGCTCTTCAGGTAGATGATGGCCAGCATTCGGGCCTCGCTCAGCACATTGACGTACTGCGGCAGCTTGAGGCACTCGACCTCCTCCCGGAAATGGGTCAGATCCCGCTGGCGTTCGCTAATGTTGAACATGGTCATGTACAGATGCACCGTGAATGTGGGATAATAATAGGACATTGGCTTGTGCCGGCTCTGGTAGAGATACAGACTCCAGTCGAGCATCGTCCGCTGGACGCCCAGCTCGAAGGTGGAGTTGCGCTTGCGATGCTGCTCCAGATTGCGCAAATTGTGCTCGTAGCTCTCCCGATAGATGCGCAAACCGGCATACTCCCGGTTCAGATCGCCCGCATAGAAGTAGATGCTCGGCGAGGCGAACTTCTCCTTGTACGTTTGCAGCCGATTGCGCAACGGATGCGCATCCGTGCCGAATACCGATTTGCTGCGCTCCACGAAACGTTGGATTAGCTCCCGGAATTCGCGCAATTCGTGCGAGCTGCCCTCGACCAGATCCTTGGTAATAATGTAGCCGAACAGCGGCTTGAAGTACTCAAACGTTTCGCGATAGCAATCCTGCAGAGACTTCAGTGTGTTGCACGAGATGAAAAAGTCGATGAGCTTCTGTTTCGCCTCGAACTGTTCCGGATCGTTTTGCAGCCTGGTCAGCAGCTGGATCAGATCGCTGCTCTGCGGCATGTGACCTGCCGGGATTGATTATGGTTAGTGCTGGATTTTAATTCAATTAATGAATTCTTAAACAACTGTGTGAACTAGACGAAACTGAACGAACAGGAGATACCCTGTACCCAGCTTCGAGCTGTCTTAACGTTGGTTCGGCTTCTCTCTTCATGGTCCCACTTCCTGTTTCCCTCTCACTCATGGAAAATGTATAGCAAATGTATATAGAAAGTATGAATCTACGCCAATATATATAACAAATTTGGTTTCTCTAGCTCTTGTAATCTCTGAGATATGCTCAACAAACCAAGGCTGAAATCGATAAATATCGTTTATCGATCAGCCAAACAAGATTTCATTCATGATTTAATGATATTAATATATAGATATTACAATTGATATGACTAGTGTATACAAGAACTGCCTAAAAAAAGAAAGTTATCGATTTTAGGCCAATATTAACCTTTATTCATAACTTTATTAATGTAAAATATTGAAACACAACTGGATAGGGTATACAAGAACTGTTGGGCTAAAAATCGATATTTATATTTCGATATTTATCGATTTTAGGCAAATCTTTGAATTTATTCATGAGTTAATATAAAATATTGTGAGTAAGAAAATAGAAAATAAGAAAATTGTAGGGCATACAAGAACATTTACATATTTCGATATTTATCGATATTTATCGATATGAGCGAAACAGAGAAAGTTATAGATACTTAAAGATCTTAAAGTCTCGGAGATCTGCTTGTTTAGAGAGCTGCACAGGCAGAACCACAAATCTGTTATGCCCTCTTATAACTACTTTCACTGAACACAGGGTATTTAAATGTCATGGTATTTAACTGTCAGCATATTTAAATGATTCACACTTAAAGGGCTTAGCTCTTGCGCTCTGAGCTCGCAGCACTATTATACCCCTTTTCAACCCAACTCAACTTAATTATAGGGTATCAAAGAACCGACTCTTTCACAGCTCAGCTCCCTACTCAATGCTTTACCTACCCATGACCGAGAAGAGCGGCCGATTGCGACTGCAGACGTGATCGTAGTAGCTGTCGCAGGCATATTTTCTGGAATTAATTGAATGCTCCATCCGCATGGCCAGGTGGGTCAGCTCCTTGATGCGCAGCTCGGACAGGTGGCCCGTGTAGGCTATTTGCGCCTCCGCAGCGCCTCCCAGGCAGGCGCCCAGCACGGCAGCCAGCAGAGCGGTCCACATCTTTGTCTCTAGCTCTCGCTCAATCTTTGGCCTCAGCTATTCGCGTTGTTCCCCAATCGCGCACTGCCACAAACTGATCCGCAGCCAGCTCCGCAGTCAGTTCCACAGCCAGCTCCGCAGTCAGCTCCGCAGCCAGCTCCGCAGCCAGCTCTATCGGCGGCGGCATCCGCCGTTGCCCAAGCTCAAGCGCCGATAAGAGCTGTCGAGTCGTATCAGTTGCTTTTAAATTGCTCTCCCGCCGCTCAGTTCACTTAATTATGCCCTGTAAAAATATAGATATGCGCGTGAAAGGGTATATTGGACGCGTGTGTGGGATATACAAAAATTAAGCTGGGCAAACTATAAGTTTATTTCTCAGGAATTAAGGTTGGCATAGTATTTAAGCAGGATTAGTTTTTATGTGTAATTTTAAATATTAATATTGGATAAAGCTGTAATATAAAATACAATTATTTGTGGCACGTTTTGTGAATTAATAAAAAAATAAAAAATAAATAAATCGTAGTCAATCTCTGATAATCACACGAATTTATTTATATATTTATTTAATAAAAAAATCGAAAGATGTCTTCATTTCTTAACATCTTCTTGCAGACCATATAAGCTTAGTAAACTGGCATTAATCTAACTAAATTTCTTATAAATTTTAAATCAAGTAAATTCCCTGATTTTTCGTATAAGTATTTATCCTTATACCCCGGAAATCTAATTATGATCGATTTACTATTATCAGTAGTGAGAGATAGGCGAAAATCTGCTTCACAAAGGATACTCTAGGTTTTACAGGGTATCAGCCTATCGAGCATACCAATTTGTATTCATTTTTATTAAGAGTTGTTTACATTTTCGATCGCAGCCCAGTTTTAAACGTCCGCTCCGGCCTGTTCATAGACATCGATGCGCCGCTGCTTGAAGATGGGAATCTGTCGACGCACTTCATCCACCATGTCGAAATCTGTGAGGGAGGTGGGGCAAATCAAATCACGCGCTCTCTCTCTCTCTCTCTCTCTCTCTCCCTTCCCTCTCCGTGCGAACTTACCAAGAGTCTCCACAATCAGTTCACATCCCTCGCCCGCCTCGCGCTGCACACGCGCCCAGGGATCAACGATCATGGAATGCCCGTAGGCGACATAGCCGGACATAGGTGATCACAAAGAGCTGGTTATCTGTGGCGCGGGCGCGCTGCAGCAGCTCCCAGTGCATGGGACCCTGGCAGATGCAGAAGGCCGCCGGATAGACCAGCATCGAGCAGCCTGAGAAGATAGCTCGGAGTTGCAGTTGCAGCTGCACGGGAACCCTCCCCTGCCCTCCCCTCCCCTCACTCACCCATGTTGCGATAGAGGCGTGCCAGTTCCTCGAAGCGCATGTCATGACAGATGCCAATGCCGACCTTGTGTGCTCCAATTTGGACCAGGGTCAGCTGATCGCCCGCCGTCAAGGCGACGCCCTCATCGAACTGGACGCCGCCCAGCTGCTCCGGCTCAATGTTGGCGCAAAAGAGATGCAGCTGGCGTGGAATGTCAGTCGGGTGGCTATTTAATTATGTTGCAAAGCACTTACCTTGCGATGTCGGCCAATTAGCTGGCCATTGGGCGCCCACACGGTGCACGTATTGTACAGCTTATTCTGGTCATCCCGTTCAATTATGCTGCCGCCAATAATATAGATACCCAGCTTCCGGGCCAGCTGGGACAGCGCCTGGCATGTCCGTCCATCCGGCACGCGCTCCGCACTCCGGCCAAATTGCTCAATGTCATACGGCCCGTTGAAGCTCTCCGGCAATATGGCCAGCTGTAGCTGGGGATTTTCAGCCTTCAGCTGCGTAATGCTGTCCACAGCCAGACGAACATTTCCCGCCACATCCACGCCCACGGGCAGCTGCAGCAGACCCAGCGTAAGCTCTGCGAAAAATGCCAAAGGGCTTTAATTAGGACTTCAGCGGATTAATGTCCTGTCGTGTCCTGCTGCACCCACTGTTGCTCATCTCGTTCCAGACAGGCACGCCTGTCTCTGCTCGACTCGTTGCCAAGTCATGAGTTTTGCTCGCTCGTTTTGCCATTTTATAGCTCGATTTTCCAGTGCTTATCAATCGATCCAGCGATCCCCTTTGTGGTTTTTTAATTGTTTGTCGAATTTCATTTTTATAACCCGAACTCATTAACGATGGCTAAAAAGGGTAAATTGATTTTGTGACAAACTAAGTCAATTTAGTCAAGTTCATCCGTTTCCTTATATTTTTATAATATCGATAAATATCGATTTTCAGACATCGTATAATATCGATAAATGTCGATGTTAAAATATCGTATAATATCGATAAATATCGATTTTATGATATCGCATAATATCGATAAATATCGATTTTAAGATATCGCATAATATCGATAAATATCGATTTTAAGATAACACATAATATCGATAAATATCGATTTTAAGATATCGTATAATATCGACAAATATTGATTTTAAGATATCGCATAATATCGATAAATATCGAGTTTAAGATATCGTATAATATCGATAAATGTCGATTTTCAGACATCGTATAATATCGATAAATGTCGATGTTAAGATATCGTATAATATCGATAAATATCGATTTTAAGACATGGTATAATATCCATATATATCGATTTTAAGATATCGTATAATATCGATAAATATCGATTTTAAGATAGCGTATAATATCGATAAATATCGATCGATTTTAAGACATGGTATAATATCGATAAATATCGATTTTCAGACATCGTTTTTTGAGGACAAATTATACAAATAAATAAATATATGGTGCTGAGTATGTTGGTTGTCATATAAATGGTATACACCGATATATAAAACATTTAAGCATTTGGATACACACCACGGTTTTTTTTCTCAAAATTAAACAAAAATCGAAATACTAAAGGTAGAGTTTTCATCGGACTATAAGCACCGAAGTCAATCAAGAATGCATAGTCAATAGGTGTGGCACAAAGGGTATCTACTAGTCGGGCACGTCCGACTGGCGCCATCTTACTTGTTTTTATATTATTTATTGAAAGTCAATGCTCAATTATTGAATATATAAATATAGATTTCTTAGTATATATTGATAGACTTTTGCTATTTATAATTTTCACATAGACAATTGACATATACCCTGCAAAGAGGTTAAATCTGATCTAATCAGAGGGTATCAGAAAGCTAACTTGAAATGAAATCTGTTTCAGTAATATATATATATTCTTAAAAATGGAATCGATCTATGTCTTTCCGCCTTTTCCTCACATGCCTCTCTCAGATTTATTTAATTTAACAAGTTGCACCCTTTCCGAAAAAAAGCCTCAGAACTGTAAATAGAATGTAATGTAGGATAAAATTACCTTACATTAATTCGGAATTGTCGGTCCTTTATTTTCTCAAGCATATTTGACTGATTAACTCGGATCTCTACTTTGGTTACAGGGTATTAATTAGTGGAGATTCTCGTCAAAAAAATTTCTTACTGTTTCTCTGCATTTAATTTAAAGCACCTTAAGTTTATTTTGATTACACTTGCAAAGGAAATGTGTTAGTCCATCGACATAAAATGTAGAGTATAACCGTCTATAATTGTTATATGATCTCCAATTGTGGTTTTCCCGAGTAACAAATGCATCTCGATGCATTTATAACTGGCCTGTTAACTGCAAAACCACAAACTATTTCCCAAGTAAAGCACTCGAGAGTGCAATAATACGTGACCAGCTTAATGCCTCAACTAGGGGCTATTTATTTAAATAAATTGTTGCTCTACTTTTGTGATTTTCTTTGTCTTTTGCTTTCTTTTTCGTTGTGACCTTTTACTCAATGGACTGAATAAGGGTTATAAACGACAGGGCAGCACGACAAATCTGCAAGAAAGCAAAGAGAGTGGCGTTTATTTATTAATATCCATCCATCAATAGCTCAAGCTGTCAATTACCGCCAAAAAGTTGGCCAGCGAAGCTTCGTAGAAGCCCGCCTTGATGAGCATCTCCCGCTGCGAACGATGCATCATGAAGACCAAGGAACGCCGCTGCTTGGGCAAAGCCAAGTGCCAGTTGGATGTTTGGATA